GTGGTGCCACCTAGTTTCAGTCACTCTCATTCCCAAGTACACATTCTAGCATGACCTAGATTCCAGTTCATTCGTTTGTCATTGTCTATCAAATGTTGTGTACAACTCCCCCTGGACACTGCTTCCTCCTGTGTCCATCTCAAAGAGCAGCAATATCCTCGTCCCATTTTCCCAGCTAGGAAACTTAGCATTGCTTTCAGTCTTCCCTCATTTGGTGATACCTGTCATTCTTTGAGCCTATTCCTTTTGCTTCCTTGATATCTTAATTGATTTTCTTCCATACTAATTACCACCTCTTTAATCCAAGTGACAGTCGCCTCTTGTTTGTGGTGCTGCAGTTGTTTAACCTCCTTCTTCTGCTCCTCTTTTGGTCCTTCTGTCATCTCACTTACAGTTTTATTTTGGAAGATCCTCCCCATCTTTTAGTCTTTCCTGTTGATTTCACTTCATTCCAGTTATTTCTATGGCACTTTTCTAAAAAATTGGGTTTAGTATCTTTTCTAAATTTTCTCAAATCACCATGCACTCACCTTTATTCTACTGCAATATTGCTTATTTTTGCACTGTAATTACATATCTATGTTTCTGTCACCGTGTATCAGTACCCACCCCAAATAATCACTGTCAGACTGTAAGCTCTCTAATGGTAGGAACTAAGGGAAGTATAGAATGTAGCACTTGATAGCAACCAAATATTTGAATGTTGAATAAATATAGCCAGAAATTTAGAGAGCCCATAAAGCTTCAGGGATGACTGGTCCTTGAATCCTAAGAGTTACAACAATCAAGCATAGGGAGCACATTAGCTTTGGGGGATCAATCTGGTTTAAACGTCAGGATAAGAGCCCAGCAATGGCAGTTGGAGATGCCAGTGCTATTAGAGAATGAAACAATGCGATCATGACCAAAAGCTGTTGTTTGTTTTTCTTCCTGCTTTATCCTGTTTGGGCCTATGTAGATTTAGTGAGACATCATGATTGGAGACTTGTACAAGGCCCAATTCCTCAGTGGGACAGAGGGACTAAGGTGAAAGTTCTTTAAAAGAAGTAGCTAGATTTTTGGATAGTCCACTGTGCAAACACCCAAGGGGATTAATCTTGCCCTTTTCCCCAGCTGTGCAGACTCCCTAAAGAAAAGACCTTGATTTCTTTATGAATCTCCCTCATTTTGAGTCCCTGTGTTCACAACCACATAATACAAAGGGGGGAAAAAACTAATACCACTGAAATCTCATGTACTTTGTGGATATTTATACTTGAATACCACCAATCCTGACTGTTACATCTTGTTAACTGTGATTGTGTTCACAGTGATTTGCATGGGATACCTCTCAATTCTGTAGTAAACTTGGATCATTGAAACATACAGTGGGAAGAATTCTGAATGTAGATTTAGGACATTAAGATTAAGATCTGAACTCTCTAGCTTATCTACGCAATAGAGTGTGGTCCTTTTTTATGAAATTTTGAATTACATATTCGATTTACAATATTAAGTCTCTCTTAGTGCAAAAAACTTGAAATAATGTAGTTTCCTCCAAATTAATACCAAACTGTGTACTTCCAAAGCTCTTGAGCCTATTGAATTATAAGCTGTGTTTATTTTATTGAAACATTTCCACCTTAGTTGGTGAACAAAAATACCCACTGTATCTGTCATGGCAATAGTCTTAAAATGTCAGTCGTATTTTGCAAGATCTTTAGGGAGGTATTTCTTGCATAAAAGGCAGTATTTGTAGCCTAGGTAAGTCATCTCTTTTTTTCCTTCACTTCTCCATATCCCCCAATCACATACACACACTAGATGTGAGGAATCACTCAGACTGCTTCCGAGCTCAGGGGTGTCTTAAGGACACCTGAGGAAATGACCTAGCATATCTAGTGCAGGTGCACAGTAGGATACACTTAAGTTACCATGACTTGACACAGGTAAACATGCGGGCATTGGTTTGGGCACTATGTAAAAATGTAAATATGAGATTATAACCTGTGTAAGAATTACACAATAAAGATACAGAGAATTCTCTGCTCTACTCCATGTGCCTGCTGCTATTGCTAATGTCTTGCACACATGCATTTTTGTTCCTCCTTTTTTCTTGGTACTAGGAATTGAACTCAGGACCTTGCACTTGCCAGGCAGGCACTTATGCTGCTCAGCTGTATCCCTGGCTTACACATACATTTTTTTTAAATTTTATTTAAGAGGAAAAAGAGAAAAACACAAAACAAAACAAAGCAGTGTAAGGGTACACGTAATACAGAACTACAAAAAAAAAAACATAACAGTAAGAAATCACCTGTTAATAGATTACATATTATCATCTTGAAAATAGTTGCTCAAATCACAGTATCAAAGAATACAAGGTGGACATTCAAACAGGGAGACTGCAAACAGCTGTGTTCAATGATCCAAAAACATTGATATAGTCAGCTATTTAACACCCCTAAACACACTTGCTGTTATATCCGTTAGAGCTCTTTTTATTTTATTTTATCTTTTTTCCCTCTCTTTTTTACAACAAAATTTACACATTTTGGATTTTATTACTCCTTAGTGCTTATTACTTTTTGGGGGGGGGAGAAAATACAGTCAAATATGGCAAAACAAAGCTGTCAGTCAAAACTAAGGATAGACATAGCACATGGTGTAGAACAGAGTACAAGGTTATCAACGTTGTCTCTTGTTTCCTTAAAAAGAATTGTCTATCTCATTAGATGTTATAAAGTTGGACAAAACAGTAGAGAACAAGACCAATAAAACTTAGGCATTGTAAACATTACAGGACTTCCATAGAAGACAATAGTCAAACCAGAATGGGCATCTTAGTGAATCTTATTGCCTTCAAAGTAGTTGCCTATGTCTTCAAACTTGATACTACCATATAGAATGGAACAGAGTCTAATCAGTCAAAACAAGATCGTGGGAGTACTACAGGACTTCAAAACAAGTTAATAGGAAATCAAAAAGAGTTACTATTTATATATCCTAATTTTTTTGAATTTTTTCTTTAATTAAGAGAAACATAAGAAATGACTAAATAATTTTTTTTGAAACAATAAGGGGGAGATTGAGATAAAACAGGACATAACAATATAACAATAGAGGTCACAGCATGACTGTTTCAACAACCTAGTACTTCACCACCTTATAACCTGACTTAATAGTAGTTACCATAGTGTCTTTTTCCTTGAAATATTTGGATAAAACTTCATATACTCTAGCTTCAAATATTTTCATATCAAGAAGCCCAGAATAAAGCCTTTTTAATTAATGAGTGAAAACTTTATAAGGCTTCAAGGCCACCTAATGGGGAATCATGATTACCACATATTTTTATATATTTGAATCATTATTTACATTAGGGAAACTATTCGGTATTCACACATGCGAGATTGATTTATTTCACTAATGAGTATGGTCTCAAGCTGCGCCCATTTATTGACAAATATCTCAATGTGATCCTTCTTTATAGCTGAATAATACTCCATTGTATAGAAATACCACAACATTTTTATCCATTCCTCAGTTGATGGGCACTTGGGTTGTTTCCAAGATCTGGCGATTACAAATTGTGCTGCTATAAACTTGATACTATCATACAGAATGGAACAGAGTCTAATCAGTCAAAACAAGATCTACACATACATTTTTTAATCTTAAGATCTCACCTGTGAAAATCTCCTTTGGCCCTTCCTCTGTCCCCGGAGTGGGTTGACACTAGAGAAAACTCAGGCAGTAAAATTTAGCTCCTAGTTTAAAAATCACAAAATATAGGAAAAAAGTGCAGTGTGCAAGACATTAGCAAAAGCAGCAGGCAGCGTGGAACAGAACAGAGAATTACCTGCATCTTTTTTGTATAATTCTTACACAGGTTGTTATTTCATATTTACCATCTTACATAGGGAAAAAAAACACCTCATTTAGGTGTAGTGAATTTTTTTTTTAGATTTGCAAAAGGGATAAGATATATTTGCTACTTAAATGCTTACAATAGAGCCATAAACTGAAAAATATTGCTACATTATAAGATCTGACCAGAAGAGATCTTTATGAGCAGGTATGGGTTTTGAACCTGTGCCTGTCTTTCATGATACATTTTTATTTTTATTTGTTGACTAAGAGAAACAAGAAGAAACTCTCCTCTAAACTTCCTATTTATTAAAGGAGCAAACATTTAAAATAATAGACATTCTTTAAAAATATGTTATTGTTATATATTTATAACACATAGTGATTACATTTATCATCAGGAATTTGGACATGTACATATCACATCTTAATCCTTTTTACTTTCCATTCCTCTTTCCATTCCTCTTCCCCTTTCCCACATCTCCTTCCTAACTAGACAAAGTCTACCTCTCTGTTTTCTATCATCTTTTTTTTATTTTCTTCTTTAGATGATTTATATTTCAGATTTCTCATACAGAGAAACCATGAGATATTTAGCCTTTTGTGTATGATTTACTTTGCTTAGAATTACAGTTACAAGTTTCATCTATTTTCTTACAAATAATTCAAATTTATCCTCCTTTGTGGCTGAGTAATACTCCAGAGTGTATATTCCCATTTTCTTAACCCATTCATTCCTTAATGGACATACAGTCTGCTTCCACAATTTAGCTATTATGAATTGTACTGCAATAAACATAACATGTATGTTTCACTGTAAAATGGTGCCTTTAACTCTTTTGGGAAGATACCCAGAAGAGGTATACCTAGGTCAAGTGGAATCTCTAGTTTTAGTTTTTTGAGGAGTCTCCATAGTGATCTCCATAGTTGTTGGGTTTTAAAGTTGTTTTATCTTAGACTCTAGCAAGCAACTAACCAATAGAGAGAGGCTTTAAAACTTTGGACCCCCTGAATTGGCTCCCTTCCACATTATGTGCAGTATAGTATGTCATGTGTTGCTGCTTCCCTGCCCTGAGATTGCCCCAAGCTACAGAATGCTGTGAAACTATTGATGCTGACGGCTCATCTACTTGTGTCGTTTCTTCCTCTAGGAGACAGAACACGTGGTGCCCAGCCAGTCGGAGTGCCTGGGGAGAGCAGGAACCCCAGTTTATGAGAGCCCACAGAACAACTCCTTCAGGTGCCAGGAAACAGTGCGACTCCAACCCAGGTAGGCCCTTTGTCATCAGAACCTGTACTGGGCTAGGGTTGCTTCTCAGAGAAACACTAACTTTGGTGCTTGCCTCCTAGAAACTAAGGCTATCTGACTTTTGTCAATATTGCTTGTAGTCAGAGAAGCTACTTAAAGGGGTTTAGAATCACTGAGTTTGAGACAAATATAAATGACCCATTTTCTCTGTCTTTTTTTTTTTTTTTTCACGTGAAGATTATTACCGTTCAGGTTCAGGGCTAAGTGGACACAGGTGCTGCTTGAAAAAGAAATGCTGTTTCATTGGATTGTACCCCTTTTTGTCATGCCAGAGGTGATTAGGTTTTCCTCTGTGATAATGACAAGTTAGCAATGCCCATGTGTGCACACTGGCTCTAGCTTTTCACCGGTCACTTCACCGATGACTTCACTCAGCTTTCTCTGCTTGTTCAGGCAGTTTTAGTCCCAATCCCATTTTATGGAGGAGTCTGAGGCCTAGACATTAAAGGACTTGCCTGATGTTATGCAAGCGAAATAGGCTGAGCTAAAATTTGATCCTACATATGTTGGCATAGCGGGTGGCAGGTGCAGCTCCTGTGCTGACTCATGTATTGCCCTGTACCCTTAGCCCTGAAGTGGCCCCAGGACTGGCCTCTCTAGCCTCCTAGGCCTGCTGGGGGTAGCTCTGGATCCGGGGAAAGGATGTGGGTGGAAAGCTGACTACAGAAAGGTTGGCAGGACACTCTGACGGGAGCCTGGCATTGCAGCTGTCTATGGAAAATCTCTTCTAAAATAAACAGAAGAAAGAATTCAACTGCTAGTTGTGTCAGCTGTCTTTGCACGGTCCTATCTGTCATGTAATCATAGCCCTCCCTCACCCAGTGGAAAGGGAGTGCTCTGGCTCTGAGCACGATCTTTCGAATCTTTTTCCTAAATGAATCAACAGCATTGTGTGTCAGAATACCTAAAGGACTGGAGGAACTCCAAAGGTAAGGTGATCCACTCTCTAAGTGGGTTCATGGGCACTCTTTCTAAGTCTCCCCACCAGTTGCCATCTCATATCTTTATTCTTACCTGATCTCAGGTAATAACTGTTGGGTTTGACTTGTCATTTCCTTACCAATCAGGGCACCTTTCCTCTAACTTGAAGCTGTTTGGGACTGACTAGAATTAATTTGGCCAGTTCTCCACCTCTCCCCACCCCCAGCCTGATGACTGCTTCTCTAAACAAGAATAAGGTCAACAAGTTCCCATGCATATCTCAAAATAGTATAAAAGCAAAATAAAACAAACAAAGCTTCAAACTAAATCATTCATGTTTGTGTTTGGAGTGCATGGTAGTCTTTGAGGGTAGACATTCAGCAGTGACCGAGGGGTAAAATAATATTAGGAATTAGCCTTCTCAAATTCTGCGAATTTAAAACTTTTTTATATCTCATCTATGGTAGGAATGGTAAGTGGCAATTTTACTGTTGTCAGTGGGAAAATTCAAAATTTAGTAGGATTTCTTGTTGATCACTCACATGATGAGTTGTGCTAATGATACTGAATTACAATAATTCTGTAAGAGAACACAGAGAAGCAATTCTTACACTGCTGTATGGTGTTACACTTTATTCAGATTCACAGGGACCTATATTAAACAGCATTCACACTTGTATAAAACCTTAGGAAGTTCCTGGGCTTTCTTTACATGCCAGGAAAAAAAAAAAAAAAAAAAAAAACCAGGTACAGAGCTGGCCATTAACTTCCTCTTAAAATCAGGGCCATGTTCCAGTTGCCAATAGATTGACAACTTCTCGCACAGGGAGATCTTATCTATGTTCTTCTAACCTTTAGCAAATCTCCACAGGATTCCAAAATACCTTGGCATTCTTTTCTCCTACTAGCCTCCATTTCTCACTTTTCCCACTTTTATGGCATCTACCTTTCTGAGCTAGCAGCATTCCAGAATGTTCTGTGTGCCAGTGCCAGTAATCTCAGGATCTGGTGCTCACCCACAGATAAGTGATGTCAGGCCATTTATATCTTATAATATTAGGTTTACTGTTTAATTGAGAATGGTAACCTTTAAATTACAGAGTTATTTATTCTAACTATGTTGGCATCACTCCAAGGACATTGTAATGGGACTTAAAAAATATAACACGTCTCAAATTATTATAGGGATTGTGAAATTTGACAAACTAATGAAACAAGATCTTAGGCTAAAAACAACTTTGAGTCAGGTAGTTTCCATTCCTGATAACATTCCTCTTCTGTTTGAAGACAGCATATGACCAGGTTTGGTTATATCATGCCCAAAAGAATCTTGATAGAGACATGATACTGTAACAGGACATGCCAGACCTCAGTCTGGCCCAAAGTGAGGGAAGAAGGCAGGCTAAACCTCAGCAGACGCAAAATGCTACCTTCTTAGAGGCAGTCTGCGGGGAATGTTAGCAACATAATTAGCTCTGCAAAGAAGAGAAGGGATATCTTCCTGTGGCAAGGAACTGTCAGGTGTTCACTTATCATTTGGGCATCTTGAAGGAATAGTCCTCAGAGAATGAATTCAGTCTTGTAAAAGTGACATTTTAGAGCCGATTAAAACCAGGAGATAAGAATTGGTCTTTCCACACACACCAAATAGTTTCATGCCTGCAGCTCTCAGAGCTTTTTGTATCTCTTTCTAAAAGGAATCATCTGGATCCATAGATGAACTCAGGTAGATCTAGGAATATTCTTGCTGAAGTTTGAGTGTATGTAGACTGTATCTGTTTTCTAATTTTGCTACACTGAATAACCATACCCTTGTAGCTTAAATCATAGATTTATTGTGACACAGTTTTGTAGGATAGAAGTCCAACATGGTTCTTACGGGCTAAAGTAAAGATGACCAGACCGTGCTCCTTTCTAGAGGCTCTGAACAAAACCAACTATTTCCTTGCTTTTTCTTGTTTCTAGAGACTGCCTGTGTTCCTTGGCTTGTGGCCCCTTCCTCCATTTTCAAAACCAGTAACATTGTATCGCTGACCTTTCTTGTGTGGTCACATTTCACTCTGATCCCTGCCCTTTAGGTATTCCTGTGATTACATTGGCCACACTAGGATAATCCAGGATGATCTCCTTTTCTCAAGTTCCTTACTTCAGTCACATCTACAAAATCTTTTTATATGTAAAGTAACATGGAGGGAGATCAAGCAAAGGATGAGAATGTGGATATCTTTTAGAGTCATGAGCCTGTCTACTGTTTATTTTTCCAGAGCTAATCCATAAAGCATTTATCAAATAGGGCTCATCACTCAAAAAAAAAAAAAAAAAAAAAAGGTTTAAAACTCTTCTCCTGACCTCCCCAGCTTGCTCTTCAGAATTTCCTCATCAGAGACATCCTCAGATCATTTAAGCCTGATTCATTGTCTTTCACTGTACTCCTACACCCAGTTTTCAAGCCCCCACCCCTATGTTTTATTCCTCAGCATTACAATGTGGTACATCAGAGGTTTATTTGGTGTGGTACACTTGTCTCTGGTACAGAACCATATTTAGCTGTATTCCATTTTAAAATAGTTTGGGGGCTGGGGATTTAGCTCAGCGGCATAAGCACCTGCCTTGCAAGCAGGCAGTCGTGAGTTCGATCCCTGGTACCGATAAAAAGTTTAAAAAAAATTAAAATAGTTTGAATCAATATTTATTTGGAAAAATCTGACGGTGGGATAATCAAGATCCTAGATTCCTGCAAGGCAACAATAAACTGAAGCTGAGGTTCTCAATTTTTCACAGTTCCCTTTGGTGCTCTCCATTTATTTATGCTCTTCGGTTGGTTTCTGTAGATACTTGATTTGTAATGCCTGTTTCCATCATTTTCTTCCCAGCAACTGTTCATCCTGGGAACTGTCTGGCTGCCCAAAGTTAACTCCTAATATGGTGCTGCCTGATGATGTCTTATGGTTACTTTTTTCACAGATGACATGTTTACATTTTAGGGTGGACTTTCTGTGCATGTAGTGAAGGATATTTTACTACTCTGGCATGCTCCTCAATGCCTTGTTCTTTTCAAAACACAGAAGATTATAGAATCACATTTAGTTAGAACTAGAGGAAACCTTACTAGTGGTTTAATACTCTCTATTTTGTAGGTGGACACCCAGTGATATTGAGATTTGCTTAAACTCTCACTTCCCTGGTAATAGATACAAGCTAAGCACCATCAGTCTGTTTAGAGCAGCCTGATGAATATGCGTAAGTGTGACTGATTTCTATAGCAAAAGGTAGGGTCAATCCTGTAAACTCTCAAATAGGACAAAGGGGAGTTTATGAATGTCAGAGAATACTAATGCAGTTGGGACTTTCTTACTCAGCTAAGTAAATTTACTTTTGAAAGAGATTAACTCACTTGTATTTAAAATATTGTATTAAAATTTATGACAGAATTAAATCTTTAGTGTTATTAAAGACTTTATATAAACTGGAGGTATTTCACAGCACTGTCTTACTGTTCATTAGATTGATGGTTACATTAGTGTGTTTTAGTTCATTGGCTTTATCTGAAAGTTCCCTGCTAAAGGAGGCTGAAGATTCTTAGTGAGGATAATAGACTTTGATGGCAGCCAATATTTTTGTAATATTCTGGATGAAAGAAAAGGTTGGAAGCTTTGTTGCTTTATAGAAAGAGGAAGTTTTCTTGGCAGTAACTTTTCCTTGGGGGATAAATCCTTTCATCTTTTGTTTTTGAGATGGACAATATGTGTTTTAATAGCCAATTGTTTCTTATTTAAACTTCTTTTCATAGAAGTAAGCAGTATTAAAGAGTTCTGCTAAATAGAGGAAGAAATGAAAAAGAAATTAACACCCAGATATTTTTCAGTGGTACAAAGGACATGATCACCCTTCTTGGACATGCTAGAACAGGAACTCTGCATATTTTTGGTATGTTTTTCTTGTTTCTCACTAGAGTATACCTAGGGTTTTGTTTTTTATGAGATGGACAAGGATGAGGTTGAGATTTAAAAATAGCTTGTCTTCACAATATTTTAAAATAT